GCAGGATGCTTTGCTCGTAAATTCTCTTTAAATTCTACTCGTGTTTCATCTGGTGTATCTTCGCCTGACTTCCCACTTAGAATCCCCTATTAAGTCCCTATTATTGAGTCCCTATTATTGTCCCTATTAAGTGACATGCATATAAATCTGTCAGTGGTTTCTACTATCATTTTCAATACGGAACTTAACAAAGCATGTGGACTTGATACTATCCTTGCAATAGTCTTAATAGAATTGTGTTCCTGAAATGTCTCCCGTTCTCTCTAATCTCTACAATAAATGCCTTGCTGTTTCTTACTTTACCCCTTGTTAGAAATCCTTTTTTGTAGTTCCAGTCTTTAAGAACTCAGGTGAACCATCTGAGCCTTCTAACTATAGGTATATTAGTCTTCTACCTCTGTTTGGTAAGGTACTAGAAGCTATAATTAACTTTGAATTGGATAAGCATCTCAGACAAGCAATATGGTTTTCGCTTCTCAACTACTGATGTGTTTACGATTATTGCTGAAAGAATTAGACAAGAATAGTGAAGCTTATGCTGTTGCTTTGGATATCTCGGAGGCATTTGATAGCGTTTGGCATCCTGGTCTTCCCTATTTGAAATATTATGCTATTGCTGAACGCTTTTTTGCACTGATTCACTCTTCAACTCCTGAAATGGAAGTTGTTTTGAATATCCACTCTTCTAGATCTTTTTTCGTAAATGCAGGCGTTCCCTAGGGCTATATCCTTGGACCTAAATTGTTTCTAATTTGTATAAATGACCTTCCTGGTGCCATCAGCTCTCAACTCGCTATTGTCTCGATAGCAAGTTTTATCGGTTCGGTAAGGTCAAATTGGCATCCGATCTAAAAATGACCTACAATCTGTTGTTAAATGGGGCAAGAAATGGCATGTTAATTTTCCGCCTCAAAAACGAAACTGCTGTCTTTTAACCATCTGAGAAAACCGTTTTTGCCTTCTATCGGCATGGCTTATGCCAACCTCCTTGCGCCTTCTTGGACAAACCTTTTCAGTTGACATGACGTAGAAGGATCATATTGAATCAATTACTATGTCTGTAACTGAGAAAGCTGGTTCTTTGTATCGTGCGAGACAATATTTCTCGCCAGAATCTATCTTACATATCTATAAGTCTACCATTCGTTCTTACCTTCAATATTACTGCCACATCTGGTCTGGTGCTCCTGCTATATATTTAGAGATTCTTGATAAGATCCTAAGAATAATCTAAAATGTTACTTATCCTGATCTTGTATCTCGACATTAGCCTCTTTCCCACCGCCGTTTCTATAAATAATTTCCTGTTAATTATTCTGATGAACGTTTTGATATGGTGCCTAGATTTTATGATTTTATGGTCAGTACTAAATTGGCGGAAAGGTCTCATTATTTTACAACTGAAATGGCTGAATGTAACCGTAAGTTCTATGCTAATAGTTTCTTCTATCGTCCTTCTTGCGTGTAGAAATCTTTTTCGGCTTCTTGCTTCCCAGTTAAGTTTGATTTTCAAAAAATTGAATTCACTCTCAGTCGTCATCTTCTGTCTACATAATACTTGTTCTTTTATTGTTCTCTCTCCTTAATAGTAGTTTTTCTCATATTTTCTAGCACGTAGTAAGCCCATGCTTCCTAGAGTTTCTGTTGCCTTGCTTGGGCCGAAATGACAATATATATATATATATAAAGTACGGTGTATGTGTGTCATTGTAAAGATGGGAAAATAAAAATTAGTTATATTTTCAACATTTGAAGAGTTAGATAAACATAATAGCTTATTAAATAAAACATATATTATGGAATCTGCATGAATAAATGCGAAACTGGAGCATAATTATCCAACGAATTCTGGGGTTAAAAGAAAACCACACATCTATTTTGTTGTAATTTATACACGGTATTTACTCTGTTCCCACCCCCAACCACTAGGACGAGATGTGACACAAGGTCTATTTTTAGGTGGGGTACACCCGGGACAGGAACAAAAATCAGTGGGTTGCGCTGGCCTCGATGCGAGCACCGATCTCTCCCTCTGGTGCAATGGGACGGCGCGGCCTCGGTATTTACTCATTCCCCCACGAGAATGAGATGTGACACAAGGTCGGATTAATGTGGGGAACGAGCGCGTACACCCGGGTAGGGACAAAAATTCCCCTCAGTCCCCGCAACCGTCGGTTGCGCTGGCCTCGGTGCGAGCACCAATCCTTCCCTCTTGTGCAATGGGAGGGCGCGGCCTCGGGCAGCTGTTCCCCAGGGCTGGGCACCTCTTCAGTATTATTTTCTCAGTTGCCCCTCTGTCCAGTAAACGCTTAATATCTGTGTTATATATTATCTATTTCTAAGTGATGTCACTATTCAGGATTAACTAATTTGCATATTGATTTTTAAAAAAGTATATTTCATTAATTAACTGACTTTCATTACTGTTCTTTTATTCAAGGATTGTTTTGATTTTCATATCAAAAATCGTTCTGTTTAGGAATATCGTTTTATATTGTGCAGAAAAGTGTTGAAATTTGCATTTTACTTGGCCTTCAACATCTATTTGTAAAACTTTACTAAACAAGGCAATTTATGTATGAAGTGTTTATTTAAATTTTTTGCTTCAAATATTTCAAGTAGTGAATATATCTTTACATCATGAAGTGATAGCGAGCGAACCCTGCTCGTATATATATATATATATATATATATATATATATATAAAGTTAATAATATAGTGTTAGTATCAAATCCAAGTGGATCCTAGTAATATAAAAGATAAAAAAAACTGATCCACACAAAGTGCTCAATATGGGTAATAGCCTATTTCGGCAGACGAATATAGCGGTCGTCTCGTTTGTCTTATCAACACCGGTATCGACTGAGTTTATTTTTCGGTGAAAGCTAAGAAAAAGAAAACCCAAAAGATCGTCGAAAAAATAATACAAAATTTATCCACTTCAATGTTTCAGTCAGACGAAAGGCACGAGAGGGGGGCTCAAAATAAATAATATGGAAATACAGTAGCTAATTAAATAAAATTTATATGATGTAAATTTGAATTTGTTTTTTATGCCGACATTTTAACTCTAATATATATATATATATATATATATATATATATATAGAGAGAGAGAGAGAGATAATATTAGTGGAAAATATACACATATGCAAAATATATAAATACCACATGTATATTTTTAGAATAAAAATTCCAAGAGGAAGAATCAGGTAGAACTCAATGTCTAGGACAGAGTAACGATATAATAAAAAGGCTTAAACATTAATATTCCATGGTCATAATTTATTCCATTGGAATCGTAAATACGATCCAATTCATCAGACCTACAAAATTCAAAAAGAAAACAGAAAAAACAACTCCGGAAATAAAAACAGAATTTAGAGAGAGTGTAAGTATGAGGAGGAGGGAGATTAAAACTTAACAGAGAGAATTTTAGGAGAGATGGGTGGAAGGGGTTTAAGTTAGAGAAAAATGAATGTTGTCGGATGTCTAATGCATAAAGATACATTTCGTGGTGACATACACCATAGACAATGTTAGATTAAGAGGGAGGAAAAGACGAGGTGGGGGAGAGAGATGGGACGACGGAAAGTAAAATTGAACGGCGTGCCGCTTTGTAATTGCGAAAATTTGACAAATTTAATATCGACTACGGGTTACAAATCAAATATAAACACATAAAAATAAATATAACGATTATCTAATCCAGCAAGGACCTATATTTTTATGTTCAAAAACACATGCGAATACACACATACACAATAACATATACACGTATATACACATAGGCGTGTACCCACATACACACATATATATATACCCATGTACACACATATAAAAATATACTCACACATCTACACATACACATATTCATGTATATCCATATACACACACTTTTCACATAAATATACATACATACACAGGCACACACACACGTGTGTGTGTGTGTGTGTGTGTGTGAAGGCGTACTGTTAACCCACTGGGGGTGATGGACCCATAGCATCTGATAAGATGGAAAACCCTGATATGATACTCGCTTCCATGGTAGCCGGGATATCTCGCATATGTCAGTCTCTGGGATTATTAGAGTTGTTTGTCGTGAGCCGTTGCATTGCTGAACATGACTAAAATTCTCAGCACAGGTATTGCGGATATCTTAATATTCACGTTTTAGCAATGAGATGTGGAGCAACTAGATCGAATCAATGGGATTTTAATGCTAGGTTTGATGCGACTGGGGAACCTGGAATTGTCTGGGGAGATAAGGACCAGATAAAATGAATGAACACGGTCAGTTACTTCTTGAACTATACAGAGAGTTTCACCTTCACAATCCGAGTTCACAATTCCAACACAAAGGTAACCATATAGCAACATGAATGCGCTCAGGAACTCGTCAATGGCTCCTTGTAAACTCCGAGAACGTGACATACAGGATGTATGCAATGTAAGATCTCTACGCGATAAAAGCATGTTTGGTCATTAAGCCAACTGCTTGAAATCGCACTACTGTTTGGTTTGACTGATACGTTTTTTACGGTTTATCAACCCTTTGTAGGTTATTTACAGTCAGTAAATATTTTTAGATTGTAAGAATTGTTTTGAGATAATAAGGATTTAGTGATGCAGGTCTTACTAATTAACCCATAGCTGGGGAGAAGAGGTGGAATCATGCATTTTCAAGGGATGTTTGCGTGTAAGTGAATATGACAAACTCAACTGGAATTGGAACTCGGCTCTCCGATTAACAATTCCGATTCATTATCCGTTAAACGAGCGGCACATCCAAGCTTACAGCACCGGTGTTTCAATATTATATAGCTGTAAGTCCTTTATACCATCCGCACATAAAGGTTTACAGCATCTGGTATTTCCAAGCTGTCACCCATCTAGGAACTGACCAGGCGGGACTTTCCATAACTTCGGTGATCGTACTGTAACCTGTGTTTCAATATGATATGGCCGTAAGCCTTTTTATACCACCCGTACATAAATGCTTACAGCTCCTGGTATTCTCAAGCGGCCTCCCGTATTGGTACTGACCAGGCGCAACGTTGCTTAACCTCGGTGATCGTACGGGAACCGATGTTTCAATATTATGTTGCCGTAAGTCTTTTATACCACCTGTGCATAAAAGCTTACAGCATCTGGCGGTTACCCATCTAGGTACTGATCAGGTGTGACGTTGCTTAACTTCCGTGATCGTACGGTAACCGGTGTTTCGATATGATATAGCCGTAAGTCTTTTATACCACCCGTACATAAATGCTTACAGCGCCTGTTATTCCCAAGCGGTTACCCATCTAGGTACTGACCAGGCGCGACGTTGCTTAACTTCTGTGATCGTACGGTAGCCGGTGTTTCAACGCGATGTGGCCTCACTACTGTGAAGTTACCAAAGCGCTTGAATGCTGCAAAGCCCCATGTCTAAGACACTCGCCACGCTCGCCACACTCGTATCTAAACTCAGATTAACTGCACTTGTTGGGAATAAGCTCGTGTTCAGATCTACAATGGAGCAAAAGAGGCCCTGGGCTGATGAGGACGAGTGGGATATTTCTCCGTTTCATGTGTATAAATTTAGCCTGCACTTTGCTGTAATGTAATGATTAAGGACCTCATGTAATACCGCGTTTAAATATCGAAAGGTGTCCCTTACATGGATTTGGCTCGGTACCAGAAAAAACTTATGGCAGATTTACTTAAGCGTAGTTCATATCAACATCTCTATAGATGACATATACTGTGCAATATGTAAGCAAATATATGGATATAGATCCGACAGTATGAAGAAAAATACAGAAAAAACAAACAAAAATTTTAATGTTAATGTTAATTATGTTTAAATGAAAATGTCCATGAAGATGGTCTTAAATAGACCGAAACGTCCGACGTCGACTTTATATTAACATTAATACAGCATAATTGTATATTAAGATTTTTGTTTGTTTTTTCTGTATTTTTCGTCATACTGTGCAATATGTATATAACAACTTTGCAAGTGTCGCTACGTTGCTCCATTATTATGACCGTTTGCCAGACTAAGCTAGGCTTATTGAATAGCTATTTAGCTATCAAAATACTGAGAGAAAGAAAAGGAAGCATGTAAAGAAAGAATAATTTGGGAGACTAGGAAGAAAATTTCGAAATGAGTGCAATGGAGAGAGAAAAAGATCAAAACACGAAGTTGGCATTTGAAATGTGTGTTCTCCGAAAGAATAGATTGCTGACATTAAAACTGATATTGTTAAAACATGACTATAGCAATAAAAAAAAAAGAAACTGCAGAAAATGAACAATGATGAATTTAAAAAGGAAAAAAAAGAAATTAAAACCTGAAAAGAAATTAAGAAAAATAAGAGAACAAAAATTATAGCTGAACTAAAAAATAGAGATGAAGAAAAAAAAGAGAAGAAAGAAAAAAAATGAAGATAGGAAAAGAAAGAGTGTCTGAATAAATAAAATCAAAAAGAAAAGGCGAGAAAAATGAATAAAAAATAAATGGTGTGGAATGAAGAAGCAAAAAAAAAAACGAAAGAATGTTTGAATGTATAAAATTAAAAAGAAAAATCGTGAAAAAAATGAATGAAAAATAAAGGGAGAAAATCAACAAAAAAATGAAATAATATGCGTATAAATAAAATTAAAAAGAAAAAAAATACAGAAAAAAGATGAAAGAAAAAATATAGGAAATAAATGAAGAAAAAGAAAGAATATCTGAATGAATTAAATTAAATAGAAAAAGTGAGATTTAAAAGAAGAAAGAAAAAAAAAGTTTTCGGTGTTCTATTTTCCGTCGTCACTTAAAAACCTTCCTAGATATTTAAATTTTTGCTCGTATCTCTGACTTTTCCTTTTACTGACAACCATTACATTATGTCTTCTTACAATTGATTTTTGAGATATTTAAAAATGTCTGTTCAGGAAATATAATGCTAGGATCTGTTAACTAAAATTACAAGTGACCCATTATGATTCAGTAACCTTAGTCCACGTCTAAATCGCTTTTTGCTGGCCATTACACCAACCTGATATGGGCACCTGACCGAGTGCTTAGAAAGCACGCTTTCCGACCATGACGTTCGATTTTTCAGGAAGTTGACTTCTTATGGGGGAAGGGATCCCAGCGTGCGGCACTTTATGAAAATGTTTGTCGTCGATGTTTGAGCCTATTACGAAGTCACAAGTCATCGTGACCGAGGGTATGAGCGTACTGACCTTGTTCAGACTGTTGATTACGGCAGGTAATGCGCTCTCAAGCAGAAACTATAACTAAGGTCCGCTCAGCGTAGTTGTAGTATAAACCACAGATGAGTTCCGTGGGCGTTGAATAAACACAAATATGACTGAGCAAGCGACTGCAATAGGGATTTATTAGCCACTCAAGTAGACAGGCATACTTGGTCACAATTTTTGAGTTTGTCCAATGCATCACTAAAAGGATCAGATGAAATTGACTATAAAGGACAAATTGTGAAGAACTGATAAAGAATTGTCCAATCTGGAGTCAAACTATATTGACTACTCAAATATATTTTTTTCGAACAACAACGACGTAGAAGAATAGTCGGCTAGCAGTTGGAGAGCCGAGTTCGAATTACGGTCGGGTGTGTTACATTCACTTACGCGAGAATTCTCAGATAGATTCAGTTAGGATCGATTCCAGTGATCAGTTGTGAACAAATGTTGCAGGGATTAGTGCTGTCAGACTTTCGTTTCGTTTTATGTGCTGTGTCCCTTCGGGACATGGACGATCCTGACTCTCCATTTTCCCCATCTCTTGCAGCTCTCAATAAGTTTTATTCATTTGCTACTAGGTAATAAAAAAAAGAAACTGAAGAAAAGGAACAATGATCAATTTAAAAAAAAATATAAATTAAAAACTGAAAAGAAAAGAAGAAAATTAAGAGAAGAACAAGAATTATAGCTGAACTAAAAAAATAGAGATGAAGAAAAAAAAGAGAAAAAAGAAAAATAAAGATAGGAAGAGAAAAAGTGTCTGAATGAATAAAATTAAAAAGAAAAAATGAGAAAAAAATGAATAAAAAATAAATAGGGGGGAATGAAGAAGCAAAGAAAAAGCGAGAAAAAAATGAATGAAAAATAAAGGGGGGGTTAAAGAAACAAAGAAAACAGAAGAATGATTGAATGAATACAATTTTAAAAAAAGCGGGAAAATGAATGAAAAATAAAGGGGGCGGAGAAATAAAGAAACAAAGAAAACGAAAGAATGTTTGAATGAATAAAATCAAAAAGAAAAAGCGAGAAAAAATGAATGAAAAATAAAGGTGGGGGGGAATAAAAAAAAACTTAGGAAATGAAATAATGTTTGCATAAATAAAATTAAAAAGAAAAAACAGAAAAAAAGATGAAAGAAAAAAATAGCAAATAAATGAAGAAAAAGAAAGAATGTCTGAATGAATTAAATTAAATAGAAAAAGTGAGATTTAAAAGAAGAAAGAAAAAAAAAAGTTTTCGGTGTTGTATTTTCCATCGTCTCTTAAAACACTTCCTAGATATTTAAATTTTTGCTCGTATTCCTTTGACTGACAATTGTCTTCTCACAACTGATTTTAAGATATTTAAAAAAAAAGTCTGTTCAAGAAATATAATGGTATGATCTGTTAAATAAAATTAACTTGATTAAGCCCGCCAGATATGTCATACATTGCTTTCCCTTGTCTCTCTTTCCCTCTATTAACCCTGTAAGTATCAGATTCTCCAAGCCCCCCTTTCTCATTATGTGTCCCAGAACTATCAGCCGCCTTTTCCTGTGTTAAGTATAAGCTTCCTCCTTGTTTGCATCATCTCCAAAACCTCATCGTTGCTCACACGCTCGATCCATGATATCCTTAGCATCCTTCTGTAGAGCCATATCTCCGCCGCCTCGAGTCTCTTCTTCATCTTTGAGGAGACCGTCCAACATTCACTGCCGTAAAGGAGGATACTAAAGTCATAAATACGAGAAGTGGTGAATATGATGAGCAGCTGACGACTGCAACGTTAAATCTTAAAGTTTTTTTAGGTGACCATACAATTTAGAGTCCTACTTCATCACGTGATCTATCTTCCGAGTAGGAACTAGCAAACGAAAGTGTCACTAAAGTATGTGGTCTACCATGATTTTCTAAGAGTAGCTTAGGTGAGGTACAAGGCCGAAAATATGGGACACCCAGTGAAAATCGAACTCACTACCCAATCGTAATTGTTCTAGCGATCAAGCTTTCTAAGCACAACAGCACATCGAAATGCTCAAAGTATATGATCTACGAGTTGAGAAAATTCTCTATATTAAAATATACATTAGAAATAGATATATACAGAAGAACACAAAAAACGAAGTAGTCTTTATTTAATATACTATAATAATATATTAAACGAATAGCGCCATATAAGAAAGTAAAAAAAAAATTATTATTTTAACTAATACTGTCACAGTTTGTAAACATTTTTAAACGTCATTCAGAAATGCAATAAATAAATTTTGGGCATTGGATCGCATAATTTTCCAGCAATGTTTATATACAAAACCCACCGGAAGCCTTAATTCACTGTGCGCTATTTAGGCGTTATTTAAGTAAAGTTGCGCATGTGGGTAATTTTCTATAAGGCAGATCATATATTTAAGAATAATCAGTCACGTAGAACACATACTTAAGTAACACTCAATTATTAGCGTTGATATATCTTTATTTTTACGAAAGTTATTCAATTTTAAAACCAGCTTTACATTTTATTAGTCTTACGGTATATAGTAATATCAATAATACTGTGGAATCATAAATAGTCTTTAAATGCTAGCATGAAATACACCTTCGAGTAAAGATGCTATAAAACATTAAAATGCGTTTGAAATGCCTTAATAATTTTGCAAACACTTTGTTTTGTCGAGAAACGCATCACCATTCTTCATGTTCACCCGGGTTTCAGTGAATTCACGCCGTTCTTTCTCTTTTAAAGAGAAACAAACTCTCACCGATTCATCTTCAACATTTTCTGATATAACTCAATGTATCTTTGAAACCCAATTCCTTGATACTCCCATATTTCTTTCGCAAAACTATTTGATGATTTCTTTTCATCAAGTAATTGCATAATTTTCATAATTCGACGTCTGGAATACACCGCTAACACAGAATGCAACATATATCAAGATCATAAATATCACAGCGCCAAAATGGATTAGGTAATTAACGTCTAAGTAATTAACTCTAATAGTTTTTATCAGAGCAAAAATATGTTATTAATGGCGCATCCATGTTGAGAATTGCTAGGCACCATAGCAGAGCAGCAGTGCAGTAATATCTGTAAAGTGTTTTTAAAAGTTTTTTTTTCTCCCTTACTTTTCACTTAAGGGTGTAAAATGGCTGAATATGTGAAATGTAAAACTAGTTATGAATTCGATTTCCTTAACATTAGCTATTGGGCAAAAACGTGGCTTAAAAGTTAAAAAAATCGCGCTCATTTATTTCTTTGCTTTACTTGATTTGTGACACGACTGACCAATGATTAATTTTCAAGTTTTGCAGATTCGTTCATTCTTGAGAAATTTAAGAAGACGCGTCTATTTCTCGGGTCACTCAGATAACTTATTCACTCGGCGAATTTCGTCGAGTTTTGACAAATTTGGATCGGTTCTCGGCCTTTGGCTGAGATTCGATCACGGCTACGACTAGCTTGGACTGGCTCCGGCCTGGACCTGCTAGGACAAGCCATGACCAGCTTTGACTAAGCTCTGACCAGTGGCCCTTGAGTGGAAACACTCGGGTCTCCCACGTTAAACCGACCTTGTGTCACAACCTGACCCCGTGGGAGTCAAGTAAAGATCCTCAGATAACTTCTTCTGTTGCTTTGGGGAATAAGCTTCCCGGAGAATTTTTGCTGAAAATTAAAATATTGGTCTCATTAAGTCCAAGGTCACCCAATATCTATCAAACTCGTTCTCATTATATTCTGTTACTTACCAACACCTTTACAATTTCACTCACTAATCCTCTATCTTGAGTGGCTCTTAGGTTTTATACTGGGTGAACTATCAGTAAATAAAAAAGCAGGGAAGGTATAATGAATTTCGGCTAGGATTATTTATTTCTATTTTGCACAAATTCCTCTGGGAAGGGCATGAATCCACATTTTCCTTCATGGAGGCTCATGGACAATATTCATATATATATATATATATATATATATATATATATATATATATATATATATATATATAAAGACAATCTGAAACGTTATTTTTAGTGGAATAGACATTCTTATTAAACGGTATATTTATTGATTTTAGTTTACTGGCCTGATATTCGAGAAATCTTACTAGAGAAAAATATATATTTGTTCTTCAACAGGATTTGAACCTGTACTGCCGGAGAGCGTATATTTTTCTGTCTAATAAGTAAAAGTAAACGGAACGTCTACTCAAAGACGAGTATCCACTAAAAATAACGTTTAAGTATATATATATATATATATATATATATATATATATATATATGTGTGTGTGTATGTATGTGTGAAAATGTTAAAAGATTATTGATTGATTTGGTTTTAATGGCTTATGAAACTTTTTGAAGACTATGTCGAAGTATATTTTTGTGATTACAAGAATAATTCTTTCTTGTGAGTGAATATTGTATTACCCTTTTTTAGATTAAGAATGGTATTGCATCAACAACTTTCTTTACAATAATAATGATTTTTCCAGATACTATTATTTAACCCATAGCTGGGGAGATGATTTTGCCATGTACTGATATTTAACCCATAGCTGGGGGATATAAATTCAAAAACTTTCCATGATTTTTTTCGCGTAAATGAATGTAACACACCCGACCGTAATTCGAACTCGGCTCTCCAACTTCTCATTCCGAGCTGCTAGCTATTACACAACTCGCGCGTTCCATACTCCAAGACAGTACGAAACTAACTTCTTTGGAGCTCCCTTAATACCATGGGGGGCGTTTGAACACCATACAAAATGTTTCTCGTTATTAGTCAGCGAGTGGAAAGCAGATTTTCATGGCTATTTATGTATACTTCTGCCAAAAAAAAAATCCCCTATTGTAATTGCGATATGACGGTTCTCGTAAGTTAGGCAACGTCGGGTTTTGCCAGTACCAAGATGGGCGACCGCTTGCCAGTACCAGGTGCTGTAAGCGTGGATGTGGGGGTCGTATAATGGATAATGATTAGGACTTGTTAACCGGAGAGCCGAGTTCCTATAGCGGTTGGAATCGTTATAGTCCCTTGAGAAAAGTATGAATCCATGACTTTCCCCAAGCTATGGATAAATTAGTAAGTCTTGTGTCACTAAACCATTATTATCTAAAAAGAAAACTCTTACAATCTATAAATATATTCTGGCTTTAAGGGTTGAATATAAATAGAATATAAATGTAAAGAAACTTTGGTCACAAAGTGAGGGATCAGTTCACATATTAATTTTAATATTGAACTGACCCCCCACTTTATATCCATATTAAATTTCTTGTTTGTTTATCATATACTGATTAGGTATGAATCCACCTCTTCTCCTCCATCTATGAGTTAATTTGTAAGACTGGTATCATTAAACCATTATAATCTAAAATGAAAACTTACAATCTAAAACTATTTTCTGGCTTTAAATAACCTGCAAAGTTTGATAAGCCGTAAAAACTGACCAATCAATCACTATTTGCGGCAGAAACGTATGCAAAGATCTTAGTAACTTTCTAGTTCATTGTCAGCAATGTAAAAAAAAAAAAAGCACCTGAAGAGGATAAGATTTACACTATTTACATTGTTTGGACTATTGTCCTCATCTTTATTGTTATATTAACGACTTTTTGGCCGTTGTACGCTCCGGCCTTCTTCAGGTGATATACGTTAGAATTTCGAACCGAACCCTTTATTTAGTATACGGGGGTAGATTGTTCTAGTTCCACATGCCATGCCTTTTTCTAGATATCACAGTTTCAGCTATTTCTTTTTAGTAACCCAGCTCTCCACGTTTTGTTCTCCTCTTGCTGTGGCCAGGTATTGAAATCCCAACTCTTTGGATCAAATTACTGGATTAATTCAACCAATGCTTTTATGCACGAGGTTCGGATCGAAATTCTAACGTATGAAGAAGGCCGGAGTGTACAACGGCTGAAACGTCATGAATATGATAATAAAAATGATTACAATAGTTTGAACAATGTAAATAGTATAAATAGTTATAATACCGCATCTAAAATTTCTTCGTCTTTTTCTTCATGCTTCCTTCTTTTCTCTTCTTGTTCACTCCATCCTTTGTACTCCATTTCGAAATGATTGCATTACAAATCCTTATGGGATGCTGCCATAATTGTGCGTTTCCACTGCTAACAACGGAGAGAAGTGTACAAGTTGTCCTTCTACATTGTATAGCAGGCAGGCGCTTACAGTGAAAGGCTTAACCATGTGATAATGGGATTTTTGAAGTGTCAATCTTTTTATTGGTAGTATTATTCCCCAAAGGAATATATGCTCGACAAAAGCAAGTGGCAAACTTTCACACAAATTCAACAGGATTTTTTTTTTCATATTCTCAACAGCTTTCTATTCAACCACCCACTGCTTTTTCTAACACCATAATTTAATGTGTTTAGTTTTTTAATACACTTAGATGTTTTAATGTGTTTAGATAATATATTACTAATAATTTATATATAAATAAATTCTAAAGCAAATATTTCATCTTACAGTGATTTTAAAAAGTCTGTTTTTAATGTGTTTATATTTATTGATGTTTAAAGTTTTTAATGTGTTTAGTTTTTTAATGTGTTTAGATTTTTTAATGTGCTTAGATATTTTAATGTGTTTCAATAATAGATTGATATATACTGGTGACAAGTAGAAATTACTTACCTGTTATGTCATTAAGAGTGTGGGGTCTTTCCGCGTTTGGACCTAAGTGGGAAAAGACGAACATTCAGTTTGTTCTCGTTTTGGCTAAGCAGGAAGTGACGTAGGACGTTTCTGATTGGTCAAAGTCAGCAGTGGCAGTTCTTTATAGGTTCATTGTTGTGTGCTTGGTGGAGATTTGCTTCCGAATTGCCTGCCGGAATAGGTATTGTTCCGGTAGGGTCTCTTGGGTGAACAGGTATGATGTTGAAAGACCCGAAACTTGTCATAACCCCCAAGTCATAACATCACTGATGAGGCGATCGTGCGCGCCCATTGGAGTGTAATCATAAAAAAAAACTCTATAAAAACCAAGAAGAACACTTAAGGAAATATCTAAGAAGAAAATTAAGAACTAAATGATAGGGCTATAATTTAAATGGGATGTTTGAAATCTCTTCAGTATACTTTGACAATGGCCCTCCGTACAATTGGCGGAATAAAGGAAGAAGAGTCTCTAATCTTTTAGCGACCATTGATACAGGTGAGTAAAAAATATTTTAAAAGACTGTCCTATTCTGTCTAAATTAGAAATATTTTGGTGCCTCCAGATACTATTACGCAGTTTAAAATAAATTAAATAGGAGTAGATAGGTTCGTCTATCGCCCGGTTTAAAGTCCTTCTTTAGTTTTGAACATGTTATAGAGTAGTTTCACAGTGGAGGCTTGTATTTCACTAAGTCAGTCCTAAAATAGGTTCGACGTACAAAACGTTAGGAACTTGATATAAGAGTTAATGACGCAGCAATCTAGTTGTGGTGGCTGATACTTTAATATCCGACTAACGGTCGTCCGACATCGACTGACTGACCAACTCGCTGAGCCACTTAGCGACTCCTACTACTCCTACTTATTATAGGTGGGAGAGTTTATTAACTATAGAATAGGTGTGTTCCAGTATAACAGAACAGTGGAGGAGCTCCAATTCCAGTCGATTTCATTGGATACACTTACGTGCTAATACCCTTGGGAAAGATATGAATCCAACACTTCTCTCCCCAATTATGGCTAAATAGTAGGATAGACTGGGTTCTATAGCCTTGGATGACAACCGGTCTAGGAGAAGGAAAACTCCGAATTCAAAAATGTATGTAGCCCTGGAGAAGCGCATACTATGCAACTAAAGGAAAGGCTTGTTCGCATTGACTCGATGATCCTGACTACATCCGACTCCCCCTTTTTTTTTAATGTTTATCCTTTGTTTCCTGTTTAGGATTGGGTTTCCGGTTCCTTCTCAAGATTTTTTAATTTCCTTTCTCTCGCCGTAGACACTTACCTCTTAGTGGCATTATCACCTTCATTGGGGTGAAATAATTAAAAAAAAATTAATATTTGAAACCCGACCTTCACAGGGATACGACCCCTAAATTATTTTTTTGTAGACAAACCCGAGATAAGTACGCCCAACAAAGGACGTCTTCTTATCATAGGTTACTCTTTTCAGCTATTTTGAATAGAACAACAGATGCCAGGGAAGGCTGGATCATATTTTTCAGGGAATTGACCTGTATGAGAAATTTGTACACCATATTTCTGAGCACCGATATCTTATCCTCCATTTTAGCTATAAGACGAGACCCTTGGGAGTTGAATTCTTACAACCAAGATTTAAAAGTAAAAGAAGAGGAAAAGTTATATTTATTTTTTGAATTTGAGAAGACGGGATGAATGTATATGTTATGTTCTCATATGACCAATCGAAGGGAGCAGAGATATCCGTGTTATTCCTGAGTAGATATTTAATCTGATACGAGAGTAAGTTATTAGAATCTTGTCGATATAGAAAGGTCCCTTTAAATTGCGTATAAGCCTAACTTGGCTTTAGATTCTATCATGTTGAGTGGTCGTTGAATTTTATCAGTAGTACGTTTGTTTAGGTTCAGTGGCCTGTTGTGATGCATGTAAAGCGATCGAATGGTTATTTGCTATCAAAATGACGCTTAATAACTAGTAACCCTATGATGTATTGATTCGAGCATTCAAATAATCAGTCATGAGCTCAGTAAGACATTAGGATTATTGAGGTACCATGTATTTTTTTAATCAATTCATTCTAAACAAGGCGATAATGCCACTAAGATGCAAGGGAGTGAAAGAGAATGAAAATACATTGGCATAAACCGGAAACTCAATCCTAAACCGGAAACCAGGAATAAACCTCCACTCCAGTTGAAAAGGCCGGGAAGGGGTATGAACCGGATGATAGGCGAACCTATCTACTCCTATTGAGGAAAAAAAAAGAATAAAAATTGAGACGTAATTTTCTTTTATACTTGAGTCAAATAAGTAGACAGATTCGTTCTATCTTCTTCTATGTGCCATGTTTTTTCGGAGATTTGGCGATCATGGTACTCCACAACTTCCCGCCATTTTGTAGCTTTTAGCCATGTTCGTCTATTTGCTATCTCTCATTATATATATATATATATATATATATATATATTTGTAGTATGGTAAAAGACGATGGGATTACTTTCATAGCGTTGTGACAAGCTTAATTTTTTAATAGATTAAAGCAGATTGAACCTAGGCTGGATCAACTATTAAAAGGTATATATACCAAAAAAGATTCCAGAATCAAATCAAATGATTCTTTTTCAGGGTCTTCTTAGTTCAACTGAAAGCATTTCAGTGTGCCTTCGTTTCTGAGTTTTTGTCTTGTTTTTATTTTCTCTGAAAACTGCCATCTTCTAATACAATCGGCCGAGGAAGAATATTAACCGATATTCAATACATTCATGTACTAAAGGCGATCAGAAAGAGGCTTACTGAGTTTTTCTTGGGGGGGGGGGTTCTTTACAGTAAGGTTCAACCTGTATATGGTTCGGAAGCCACTCAAGGTAGAGTGCTACGTAAGGATGCAGTCTGTCAGATAGGAGGGAAAGATAAACGGTTAACCCTCAACTTGAACAGGTTGTGGTTGTAGTGACGGGGAAGCATCCTTTTGGTAATCGCTTTTACGTTATTATTTTCTATTCTACTTTTAATAACAGTAACGCTTCTGTTTGTACTGTTTTTGCATATTTTTAATAAAATCCTCATCGTTTTGTGTTAAAATGTCACGACACATTGTAGATTTATGAATCACAAGGCATTTTAGATAAAATGAATTATGGAACAGTGTCAATTTTGTAATGCAAATAAATACAAATATATACAGGGTATATATATCCTATATATATTTGTATCTATAAAAAGAATGTATAAACATAAAAATGTCTTAAAATAATTGTCGGACTTTGTCCATTTCATAACGTGGGACGTAATTTGTTTACATTTGGATACGCCATGAGCAGATATGTATGTACGTGAGAGATTCATAGAACATTGAAGTTTAAAGGAAGCAAATTCGACTTTGCTAACCGAACGCTCTTCTGTAGCCAAAACGGTTAAAGGCACGTCAGGATATATATATATATATATATATATATATATATATATATATATATATATATAAAAAAAAATATGTTGTAGTGGTTCCAACAGAGAAAAGTATGTATATTAAAAGAAGAGGGGTGCCGCAAACGTTTTTGGTTGTAATGTGGATTTATTGAGAAAAAATATTATACTTTGTTTTACATAATTTCACGACAATACATATATCCTATATATATTTGTATCTATAAAAAGAATGTATAAAAATAAAAATGTCTTAAAATAATTGTCCGACTCTTTCCATTTCATAATATATATATATATATATATATATACACACACACACACACACACATATATATATATATATATATATATATATATATATATATATATATATACTACTACTAATAATAATAATGATGATGAACTCTCCGTCGGTTTTGACGTATGAGGATCTGACAGCTTAGTTGATTCAGTTATGAACTTTTTGTGCGATAATCTTAAAAGGGCATTTAAGACCCGCTAGTGATTTACAAAAGAGGCCACATATGGAGCAAGTGTGAGGATTGTGAGATGAGATCACTGTTAGATTGGCTGACCTTTTCGATCTTGCTCTCGCTTCTTGAAGATGATTCAGACAACCAGATGGAAAATTGCTGGGTCCACTAAAACACGTTGATCTCCATTCTACCCGCTACAAGGCTAAGCGCTCAAGGGTGTTATGTGGTATATTGACTGCTGACAAATATATATTAACAAATATATATATATATATATATATATATATATATATATATATATATATATATATATATATGAAAGAAAGAGTTTATAGTGGTTCCAACGAGAGAAAAGTATGTATATTAAAAAAAGAACAGAAGAGAGATTCCGCAAACTTTTTTCGTTGTAATGTGGATTTTTTTTAAATATTATGCTTTATTTTCCATAATTTTACTACACGTGTTTCTAGTCTCGTGACCGTCTTCAGGTAAAAGGCGGAGATTTCCATATATTATTAAAAATGATTAATTTTTTCCTTATGTTTTTCAATGATAAATATTCTCGATATGAGTTCGAAGTTTCATTTTCGGTTGTTCTTGCTCATTGTATCTGCTTTGTATAAACAAGCTAAAAGATTTGTCCATTGCCAGAAACCGTTATTCTTTCTTCAGAATCCAACGAGAGCAACGAGTCTAAATGATTCGGAATGAAAGCAAAGAAAGCTAGAGAAATCAGGGAAGTGTATCTAATGCTTGTTTGCTGTGAGCAGTCAAGAAGCCAAGGTGAGAAGTCAATACGAAGACGGTTTTGTTTGGCTGAGTTTGCAATTCGTTTTATCTCGACTGATCCAGTAAAGGAGTCAACAGGTTTTTTTTCTCTCTTTTCCGTTAATGTTTATCCGCGTTCATCATTCCAAACACTTCCTTTCTAAATATACTGCGACGTATTCACGAAAAGGTTTATGACGCCCGAGCAAGTTTGTAAACACATCGAAAAGCATTGCAGCAGTTTCTTTACAAAATGGTGGCTTATCTTCCTAGACGATCATTTTTTAATTTTTTTCTCCCCTCGTTCATCCCCTCGAGGCAGATTTGATTATTCCCGTTTATCTGAAACACATACTGTATTTGATGACATATAAATCAGGTTTTTCACAGACACCAAAATGGCGGATAAAGTATCTCATGTGTCTTATATGCAAAACTGAAGTACCTCGTAAGCTAATATTTACCCAGACGCCAAAGATTTTGAAGTACTTTTATCCCGCTTAAGTCCATGATATTGTAATATTAAATGCAAATGGCGTGGCTATATATGCCATCAAATAGAATTATTAGCAAAATTGAACTTTGGACCAGGCAAAAATATATAAATAATTTAATATCTGTCTATATTTCTGAGATGAGGTATTATGTACCTTATTTACATTATTCTGACTATTGTCCTCGTCTTTGTCGCCATATTTATTACAACGTTTCAGCCGTTGTACGCTCCGGCCTTCTTCAGGTGGTTGGAATATCGAACTGAACCCTTTATTTCGTTCACTGGGTTAGACTGTTCTAGTTCCACGTGCCATGTTTTAATGGATCGAAACGTTGTAATAAATATGGCGACAAAGATGAGGACAATAGTCCGAATAATGTAAATAATGTACATAATACCTCATCTCAGAAATATAGACAGATACGGAAAGATCGAAACGTTGTAATAAATATGGCGACAAAGTTGAGGACAATAGTCCGAATAATTTAAATAATGTACATAATACCTCATCTCAGAAATATGGACAGATACTGAAGGGCCGAAACGTTGTAATACATATCGCGACAAAGAGGAGGACAATAGTCCGAATAATGTAAATAATTTAATATAATTATTAAAGAAATAAAATAAAATAAAAAAATACATAATAAAACGGTGCCTTCAAAGGACGTTTTTCCTTTATTACCATATATGGATGCTAGGAAAGTGGGGATATTTCCAGTGGCTCTGTGATATAATAAAACATTAATAAAACAGAGGGGAGCAGCTAAATAGTTAAAAGAAATGAATTGCAAATATGCGTGATTCTCCCACAAAAATTTATATACCGCTGTCATACAAGATATTCTATACAAATATGACTCTACCTGTCATTACTTGACCCCAACAGAGAAATTATAACACATGTGAATACAACAAGCATTATGAATGGAAAAAGGCGAGAGTGTCTTAATTATAATATTACCCGAAGGGAAAGACGACAGGCCATTGCCTCCATATCTCTTGGTAGGACCATGTGTTTTTCTTTGTTTGCTCAAGTGCTGTGGGCTGATGATGATGTCTGTCTTTTTAACGTTCTACATAGCAATTGGGGTTAGTCACCCCACAAACTGACGTCATTTACTATCAGTCCCTTGACCCTTGTGAATTCATCTTGCCTATAAAGCCAGATCAAACCAAATTGGAGTATTGTTGCCATATCTGTGCTTGAACTGCACAGTCCCCACTTACCTGTCTTGACAGAGTTCAAATGCATCTACACGGCCTTGTAGATGATGAATTTGTTTTCAACACTTGGTCCCACCAACCCTGACCTTTGCAAATGGGATCCCTCATGCCATATACATAAGGATAAATCATGTCTATTTCATTCTTATTCCATTACTAAGAAGTAAGTCCCAGTCGGACAGCTTCTTCCCACGAACTGCTACTTTGTGACACTCACTCCCAGCAGAATTTTTTCTCCTTCACAAGTAACCCACTACCTTGAGTAGCACTTGGGCCTTGTATTGGAGGAACATTATTATATAAAAAAGACGGATGTTTCTAACTTATTTCTACTGGAAAAAGGTTGGAAAAATAATGTCCTCAACTTGCCTTTAT